CAAAACAAGATCAAAAAGACTTTTTGGCTGATATAAGGTTTTAAAACTTGGTAAGATGGACAGTTTTTGCAGTGCATGTTTAACTTCAACCAAACACAAAACGTCACGTTCCTCGTCTCATTGCTATGGCTGAGCACTGCTGTTCAAATGAATCACAGAAAAACTGATCATCTGCAGACGTTAGGAAACATCTTCCTGTTCTTCCTTCACTCAGCCACCGTGATGTTTTCAGTGAGGAGAGGGAGCCGGAGGGACGGCGGTCATCGACCTTTTCTTATCTGAGACTAAAAACAGAAAAAAAAGGTGGATGCAGCTTAAAACCAGCAACATTATTCTGTACCAACCATGTAATATACACCCATATCAGATACATGTTTGTCTTGCAGCTGATGAAATTTTGGATTTTTATATAAAAAAGGAAGTGAGCTAATAAAGAACCGAGCTGTCAGTTTGGTCACTTTCAGTCTTTACCTTGAAGAGTTTCATTTACAACACTGCAAACAGATTTTCTACAAATCTTGCAATCACATTGTGTTGTAAGAACAAAGTTCCCCTKGGCAGCTCGTTCTTGTAAATTTAAATTATTTCCAGGAAACTCTTAACAGATGTCTGTTTGACACTTTTAYCACTTTATATTCATTATTTTTATGACATGCCAAAGGTTTTTAATGGCAAATTTTGTACGTATTTTTTCTTTCTTGTGAAGCCACATGAGAGTTAAATGTATTATTAAATGTTCCTGAAAATGAAGTTTAACACCCTGAGATAAATTATTTGAACTCACCAGTTTCCACTGAAGGATCTTGATCCACTCGTCTGCCTCCACTCCCGTCTTTGCGCAGGCATAAAATGTTCTGTCAGGAAACACCAAACTGTGGAGACAGACAGACACGCTGAGTTATTTACAGTGGTTCCCCAAGATGGGGTCAGGAACCTACAGTTGGGGTCCTGAAACATCAAGGTGGGGTCCTGAAAATATTTTCTGAGTTAATTACACTAAAAAATGATAACTAAGCACATTTTTTGCCTTTGTTCTTACAAAATAATACA